GTGGTCCGCTCCTCGGCGGCCTTTGCCTTTAGCTGCTCCAGACGAATGTCCCGGTTCTCCCGCTCCACCTTCGCCTGACCAAGGATCTCCGCTTCGATGCGCTTCGCGTCTGCCTTTGCCCGCATCTCCAGCTCTTGGGCCAGGGTGTCCCGCCTAATGGCCTCCTGTTTCGCCACCGACTCTTCTTGACGGCGGATATTTTCCTCATTAGAGGCCCGTTGCTGGCCGAGCTGATCTTCGAAACGCTTCCTCGCCAGCTGGTCCTCATACTGCGCCTTCAGTTGTGCCTGCTTCGTCTCCTCCTTCAGCATCCGTTGCCGGTGCTCCTGTTCGGCCTTCTTCGCCTCTATTTGCGCATTTGCCACGGCGCTTTCATACTCCTTGATCTGCCGCTGCAGCTCCAGCTGCTTTGTCGTCTCCTGCTGTTTGACTAGTTCCAGGGCGTCCTTGGCGTGGCGGCTCTGCTCCAGGTCTTTTGCCGCCTTTGCCGCCCGCTCCAGAGCTGAGGAGTCGAACTGGTAGGCGTTCATCTTGCCGACGGGAGGCTGTTCACCGCCGCTGCCGGTGTTTCCCGAAGGTGGCTGACCGCCGCTAATGCCGCCGCCAGCAGGGACATTTCCCGGATAATGCTGCCTGTTTTGGCTTGATCCAAAAAGCCAAGACATTGCGAAGGAGCTAGAGGAGAAAAAAGTAATGAGCACGTTTCTAAACAACCCTAAAAGCTTACCTTGTAAAGAACTGCAAAGTGCAGAATTCACGGCAAAAAGAACAGATTCGCTTTGAAAAAGTTGCGACGAGAAAGAGAGCACCTGCGCAAGAAAAAACCAAACTGATGCAATCAACAAAGCATGTGCCCGCGGCGGCGATTCTGACTCCTCCTCTGCACTATATCCACACCAACTGGGCTCCCAGTGAAACTGGTGCCCGGTTTTTTCAAAATCTGGAAAATGTTGCTTTGTTTATTTGCACAGTGTTTGCAGACTCAAAAGGCTTAAAAGGACGGTTTCATCGGGGATAACTGGGGGTGAAAATCATCAAAAAGAGAAATGTGTAAAACTAAAAAGTGTATAACAGTTGAAATGTAAAAAAGGGAAAATGCTTGGACAGACTGGAAAGTGAAAGAGACCTAACAAGGGTAAAAGTTAGCACAGTCGAGTAAAGTAAAATGTTAAGGGAAAAGTGTGTGTGTGGGTTAAAGTGGCGCAACAAGTTGGAATACTCTTTTTCTGGTAATTTCTGGCAAAGNGGTAAAAGTTAGCACAGTCAAGTAAAGTAAAATGTTAAGGGAAAAGTGTGTGTGTGGGTTGAAGTGGCGCAACAAGTTGGAATACTCTTTTTCTGGTAATTTCTGGCAAAGCCAGTTTTGTTGAAGCTCGTTTGCGCTTGGGACGTTTAAATCACAGCAGACTATCGCGGCAAGGGCTCTTCGCTGAACTTGAAGCCCGCCTCTTCGCTGAATGCATCCTGAGTTTCATAGGCGCGATTCGCGCCCATCAGCTCCTCCGCCCGCTTTCGCTGGTGGTCATCAATGATCTTCAGCGCTCGAAGCGCTCGCTTGGCGGCCGTGCACTTGGCAATGCGCTTATTGCGTCCGACGCCGACAAACTTGCCCACATTGAAAACCTCCACCGAGACGCGAATCTTGCGGCCTGAGGTGATCTCCGGTTTTCTTTTGTGAAAAAAACATTGTTAGAGAATCATTCCAAAAAAGTCAGTCAAACCAAAAAAGCTTACCCAAACTTGGCACTTTGCGGCTGCTTCTCGAGCAGAACACGAATCGGCGACTTTGGCACATTGTAGCTGAAGTACTCTGCAAAATAAGAAAAGAGAGTGAGAAAAACTACTCAAGACAACACTATCCGGAATGTAAGCACTCACCAATTTCCGGCTTCATCATGNACATTGTTAGAGAATCATTCCAAAAAGTCAGTTTAGTCAAACCAAAACAAACTTACCCAAACTTGGCACTTTGCGGCTGCTTCTCGAGCAGAACACGAATCGGCGACTTTGGCACATTGTAGCTGAAGTACTCTGCAAAATAAGAAAAGAGAGTGAGAAAAACTACTCAAGACAACACTATCCGGAATGTAAGCACTCACCAATTTCCGGCTTCATCATGGGGTAGTAGGCATTCCAGACGGCGTCAAGGCTCATGCCCGAGTCGAGGAAAATGGCCCCGGCCACCGACTCGAAGATGTCGCCCAGCGCCTTCGGCACCNGCAAGACAAGACTATCCCGAATGAAAGCACTGACCAATTTCCGGCTTCATCATGGGGTAGTAGGCATTCCAGACGGCGTCAAGGCTCATGCCCGAGTCGAGGAAAATGGCCCCGGCCACCGACTCGAAGATGTCGCCCAGCGCCTTCGGCACCTCAATGTCCTCCAGGTGTTCCGCCTCATTTTCGCTGATAAAGAGCTCCCAGTAGACGCAGCTGCGCTTGCTCGGATCCTCCTCCTCCCCCACCTCTCCTTCTACCTGATCCTCATCGACATTCTCTGCAGCAGCCGCCGCCTCTCTGGCCTTCTGCTCCTCCTCCAGCCGGTTGGCATTGCAGAGGTTAAACTTCTTGACAAAGCCGTCGACGACGCGAAACAGCTCGTGGCTGAGCTCCATCAGGTACTTGTTGAAGCTGTACTTGACGGCGAGGCTGGCGAAGAAGGTGTTGTTCACCAGGGCGGAGCGCAGGTCGGTGAGCGTGCCCGGCGAGTGGCAGCGCGGGTCCTCGTAGAGGTAGCGCGTGATGAGGTAGTCGAGGACGGCGTCGCCGAGAAACTCCAGCCGCTGGTAGCAGTCGGTGACCGTGTTCTCGTAGTAGCTGTTGTGCGTGAAGGCCTGCACCAGGTAGGCCTTGTCCTTGAAGGTGTAGCCAATGGCCTGCTCAAACTGGTTCAGGCGGTGCTGCTGGTAAATGGCGTCCAGCTTGGCGCGCAGCTGCTCTTCGGTAGTAGTGACGGCCTCCTTGGGCACAATCAACGGCGACTTGGGCATCGGCAGCCACTGG